ATGCAGTTTAGATATCGAGTTTAGCACTTGGTCCTGCATTCACTTTTGCAGTGTTCCCGCATGTTGTCCCTGAAGCACACTCTCAACCAAAAGCAGCTGCCAGAGTGGCTCGCAAAGTTTCCATAACAGTCGACTTCAAACTCCTGCTCACATTCAGAATACCCATGTTTGAAGCGACCTTTGAAACAGCTTGCTGTGAAGCCTGTAGCAGATCCTGTAGCCTGAGCAACCCCCCCCCCCTAGTTTATTCCAAACCTTGCCAGGTGCAACTAGGACCCAACAGTAGCTGATTTTACGTTGTTCGAAAGCGCTGGAAAATGTGGAATATGACATCTTTTGGGAGTTGAAGGCGCATGAACCAATTTAACGTTTACATAAGTGGGCTGCTTGCCCTCGGTAAGTACCCTGCGCCGCAACGAGCAAATCTACAACGGTAATGAAAGTCAATGCGAGGAACGAGTAAAGACATGAACGATGTTCCTACATGTCAAACCTTCCCTCCAACATCATAACGCATCGCAATTGTTCTGGCATAGATATCGGAAGCGTGTCTTGTTGAGGGAGAGGGCCAAGAGAAAGGGATGGATCCCTTCGTCATGCGTTGGCATCCCCTCCCTGCCCATCCCCGCATGAGGCAATTTCGGACAAAAGCTTCGGGATAGCCTAGCTGATCAAGCTAGCCAGCGATATAGTCCAATAGAATTTGCGACAGGGAGCTGCCTGAACCTTCTGCAGCCTCAACATGTTTCAAGCACGGCATAAAGCCTCAATATCCCTGGACCCCAAATGCTGAACCATCCCAAGCCTTCGACAAAAAAGTCTGGAAGCTCTGAAACCCTGAACCCTCCTCTGGTTGGATGTGGGAGTTTCCCAAACTTGGGGGCACCTTAATGGGGGTCCCAATAATAAGGACTACCGTATATTGGGGTTCCCTTATTTTGGGAAACTGCCATGATGTCCCGTGCCTCCAAGGTCCGCAGCAGTGGGCATGGCAGCTCCGAGGTCGTCGACGGCGCCTCGGGCGATTCAGAAGGATATGAGCTACAGTCAATAGTTCCTCCATATTTTAGTGGACATGGGTTCCTTATCAGGGACTTTGATACGGACGAACCTAGTTTACAAAAGGGACCCCTATGTCCACAGTTAAGGGTCCCTCAATAAGCACAGGCAGAAGGCCCTCCCGGGGTTCTGTTGGAATGTTTGGGAATAGAGGTGTCGCCTACGTTTACAGGTCTTAGCTCTAAAAGGTGTTGGGTAGACCCCAAGTTCAATATAACCGAGTTAATCGGGACCCAGAAATGCTGCTTTCTTTTGGCGCGCTGTCCTGCTGGACCGGCGCGATTAAAGAACATACCCGGCTGTGTACCAATTTGCGTCGGAAGTATCTGGCCGAGCTTCTGAACTTAGACTAACGCGCAGCTTATTCTAGTATTCAGGACACTGCCTAGGGGTTTAGGAGGTAATGAAGAGCAGGTGCAATGCAAGTCTTCAGCGCAAAAATGCAAAGATACTTCTGGTCGTGCTGCGTGTGTGGCGCTTCTACAATACCTTCTCCTCAGGAAGGTGCAAAACGCAAAGCCAAGAGAATCACAGTACAACCCTCATGCAACATTTCAGGGCTCCAGTATGAAATCATGGAGGCCAGGCATCTTCATGCGAACCAGGCTTAGTAGATCCCCACCTCGTTCGACGCATGCCTTTCCAAACGGGGTTCCCAATATACCCCCAAAAAAGTACCAGGGTCTCATAGAGGTCCCAAAACTATCAAGTCTTGATCTTCCACTCTCCTCATATTTCCTGCGCAATTGCCGCATTACCCATTTTCACCCCCTTGTTTTGCGAGGGCAGTTTGCCGGCCCTGTCTGTGCATCCAGCTCAGAAAATTGGGCGGGTTTGATAGAGCTATGGATTCCGGCTTAGAGGTTCGGGCTAAACGCTTGGGGCTTTAAGATTCAGAGTCTAGAGCCTGGGATTTAGGGCGTTGGAGCTCGACGGGGTCAATGAATTTCCGGCTCCAGCTACCGAATGTGCGCTACAAGGCGCAATGTTGTGAATCTCGAGAGTATGCAGATGCATATAGAGGACCGAACCCCTCTGTCGTGTCCGAGGCCCACAAACCTCAGAACCGCATGAGTTTTCAATTCCAAAATAATTGTCAATCTCCATCGGTGCAACCAAAAATGGCGTAGCCCATAACTTGACCTGCAGCCCCTCGGGGCCCCAAGCAAGCCGGAGAAAACCGCGTGGTGGGGTGGAGCCCTGCCAGGCCTCGACATGCTGAAGGTGTTGATCTCTCGGGGTTCAGGATTTGGAGCTTTTGGGGTTTGGAGTTGTTCAGGGTTTAGGGGTTCATACAGGTAGATTAGGGTTAAAAGGATCTTGGTATGAAGGATCGGATGGCAGGGATTTTTCTTCTGGGGCATGGCATAAGGACTGCCACGGGATCCAGTCCCGGGGAGTTTCGCTTGTTCAGGGGTCACTGGGCTTTCAGGTTGGACATTTTAGGGCTTTGAAAGTCCTGTCAAGCTGTTGAAAGCGTTCAGGGCTCACTACTTCGGGGTTTGAGCCACTGCTGTTCGTGGCTGGTTTGGCATTTGAGGCATTTATGGGTTTGACTGGTTTGACGTGTGGCGTCGTAGTCGTTACCCGGCTGCTCCCTTGTTTTAATTTCAAAGCCGGCCTGTGCTTCCGACTCCAGCCCACCCAGCCACTGCACGATCACCTCGAACCTGACAAACCCAACTGAGACTGAAAGAAAGCTGACCCTTGAAGAAAGAAACTTCGACGTTCATGATCGCCTTGCCGAAAGCCTAGAAGACTACGCTCGGGTGACCCTGAGACCCACCTCCGAGATCCAAATGCTTCGCTCGGAGAGATTGGCGCAGACCTTGCCAAAGACTTTTCGCATGTGGTAGTCTCCAAGATTTCATTTTTGAATTCTTGTGCCACCTTGTAAGTTCTTCACAGATACTCTCTCCCTCTCTGTATCATATGTACATATGTGTATATACACGCATTTATCACATATATATATATACGAGCGTAAATACAAACAAATAAACTCAAGTATTCAGATAACTAAACAACTATATAGATAACAAATCAATATACACAACCATTTTTAGGGCTTGTCAAACGGTCATGCTAGCTACAGCTCACCTGGGGTAGCGCACAGTCTGCCCTGACGTCATGACTTCATAACTTGTGGGCGATTGTACACGGACTGTTACATCATACGGATGCATTCCCTTGTTCCCTACTAGCAACCAGCAAGGTAAAAAGGTTCTGCAAGCATGTAATCGCCTCTGAAAGAAACGACAAGCCAATTCCGAAGGTTTCATTTCTGTAGTGATAGCTGGGCCATGGAAACAAATTCTGTCAGAAAGACCCCAGCCCAGGACTCTTGCCCTAAATGCAAATTGCAGCCGACATCCTGGAGATCCGGACTGTTTCACGTGTCTGGCCACATCAACGGCTTTCCTATTTCGGCATTGCCATCCCGTCACACTCCATTCTTAAGCTTTGCCATCCATATGGGAATGCGCGTAAACCACAGTAATGTTCATTGGTTCCATGCAGAACATAGAACCTTTCTTCTGAAGGTAGATTGTCCGAAAAATCAAGACCATAATGTTCTTCCCAGCAATCCTGGAGGTTGCAACTGCGCAGGATAGTTGCTAGCTGCTACAGCATCCACAGAGCAACCTTTCGATTCCTTGCCCTGAAGCCTCATCCGTGCAACCCAGGATTTCATTCACCCACGCAGAGACATCCTGCTAAGACCAGGGCAAAAAACCTAATTCCTAAATCTTTGTAGATGAACCCAGCTAAGCCAAGACCAAACTCAGCATGCACTCGGCTCACAAGCACATTGGTAGTTCTCAGAATAACCCATCATAGGAAATCAGCAGGTTCCAATCTTTTCAGAAACGCAGCGCGCAAAATATTGTACGAGCCTCCGCCCTCTGCAGCAAGCTACATCTTCAGAAGTTTGGTTTGTGAGTCCTGCATTTTCTGGCAGGTTGAAGACACCAGTGTCACGCTAAACTTCGCCCGCAACGCTGCAACATTTGCGAACTTGAGCCCTAAGCCCCAGACACTCCCCCATCCAGAACAACCATGAAGTTCCCAACGTTTAAGCACGCCAACAGTCCTACAAGCCCTCAAGTCCTGGATCCTCCATATCGCCCCTGAGCCCTGAAGCAGAGTGCCGGACCAATGGCGGCTGTGGACAGGGCAGAACGGATAGCATTAACGCCCGACTTTGGTGGATGTGGTATGCCTCAGACTCAAGAAGCTTTCTGCGGTCAAGTGTTCATTTTAGGGCGTTTCCAAGCCTGACATTGGGCGATATCTCTGATGATGAGACTGGTGCGCAGTAAAAACCCATCGACGAGGGTGCAGCAAACTAAGGGTGAAGCCTCCCTTGTAGATAGCAACCGGATTCACAATATGGAGACTTTTACATGCCAAAAGAAGCGAAGCGTGATGCTCGGAGCTCTTACCAGCACACAAGCTGCCAAGCTCTGTTTGTATCAAACTGGCTGAATGGTCAGCACAAGCGCCACCAGTACATTGACTCAAGGTGCCCTCAATTCTGACAATATGTGGTTTTCTACACAAGTTTTTTTTGTTTAATGGCGCGTGGGCATCTCTGTAACGCCCTACTTTGTTCATCTTGCAAGCCCGGCCCTCATGTACTGATCTCCTGAGACCAACATGTTGCAACCGATTGTCTTACTTGCACGTATCAGATACAGAGCCCCGACAGAACCCGAACAGCGCCCACAACCCTGTGTGATGTACCCAGAACATACCTAGTCCCTTTCAAGCAACTAAGTGTCCGTACATTCTCAAAACCTTCAACCTTCAACGCCATCACCCCTGCAAACCTCATACTTAAAACTTCGTTCACGGAACCCAACAATGAGAGTCAGCAAAGGGGATTCTCCAGCAGATCATGTAAAATGCCGCAACGATCCCAAAGCTGTAACCTGCAATTATGCCTCAAGAGAGCGCCCCTTGGAAAACTCATCCCAAGAAATCCATACCTGCATATACAGTGCAAACCTAAAAATTCCAATGTATTTCCTGAATGATTTTGGCAAATGAATGACCGCAGTGTTGAAAGACCTTCAAATCCCTACCTAATCCCTGCGGCCCACATACTCCCTGTAAATCGCCTTAAGAAAGTCAGAAGCCATAAGCCCTAGACACAATCATACCCTTCAAGTAGCCCTGGAGAATCCCCCGAAACGAAACCCTGCACCACTCTACTTACCTAAACTAAATCTGCACCTGAACGCTGCGCGCGCTCTAAGCGCTAAACCCCCCATGAAGCCCTCAACTCCCCTGAGAACCGTCACGTCGCTTCCGAGGCGCAACGTTCAGCAGCACCCTGGTGCGCTCCGCGCAGGGGGGCTCGAGCGGGACATCCTCAGCTTGCAGGAAAAGTTGTTGAGCGCTGATAGGGTTTAGTATGACTGGTGCCTTGGGAGATGTGAGGTCGAGGGCTTCAGGATGAGGACTCAGATCTAGTTTCGTAAAAACTGGGAGAGTCGAGAGCCAGGTGCTCTATAGCTATGAGGCTGGTTGTGTCCTCTTGTAGTTATCCTGTATCCTCAAGACTACGCGACTCATGTAATCAGGGCCTATTTGCTTGCTGCAGGGATTCCAGGAAACCCACCTCTGGACTACTCAGGGAAGTATAAGGTACCGTATGAGGCCTTTTGACTACGCCCCGAATTCCCATCTCTGAACCCAACCCCGGGCCTGGACCATAAACCATAATGATGAACCTCAGCCCTGACAGCCTCAAGGGAGTGTTTGAAAGGTTTGGGGTTGAGTTGCGCTCTTCCCTTGGCAATGTTATTCAAGCCGAACCCCGAACTCCAAATGACACAAGGTAGCAATGCGCAGTAGGTCATCCTCCGGATTCTTTTGCAGAATTCAAGCCAGAAGAGAACACCATGCAACATCAGATCCCTACATCCGAAAACCTAGAACCAACTCTGACGCCGGGACATGCCGTGACATGCCGTGACCAAACTCGAGGTCCTCATATACACTACTCAGGTATTTCCGTATTTGGGCGGTCGCAATGAGGAGGCGCCCACATCAAACGAACCCTTTAGGATGCCGCTAATCTCCGAGAGCCCCGACCCGCAGCTGCCCAGAGGTCCGCCGCATCGATGTGTCCAGGAGTGAAGACCTCGGATGCTTTGAGGTAGAGGAGCTTGTGTACAGATGTGTTGATCAGAGCTGTTGCTTTAACTTTGTGGTCGCGTGTGACCAGATGCGTCAACCGGCTAACGAATTTCGATCAACTGCAGCGTTGCTCAGGGGCTCTGCTTTAGGTTTGCATTTTCCCTTCACCATCCAAGGTAGCATTCTGGCTGGTCAGCTAGGCAGGGACGCTGCTTTCCCCTGGCATCCCTTCCCCTTGATAGGCTCAAGAATGGATGCGATGCTTTTCTGCCAATCGTCATCCGGAGCTCGTCAATGAGACGGCACCAATTCGACGACAAAGTACAAACCCATGCATCTGCTTCCAATGCAAGCTCCAAGTTCATGAAAGCAGCAAGCACTTCATATCGCGCCTCTTCATGTCCTTGGGTATGCATCCAAGCATCATCATTGGTTCGCCTTATCCTGGTATACGTTACCTCCCATCTGGGCTTTGCGTCACAAAGTCGCAAGGCCTCATCGACTACGGCCTGGCTCTCCGTAGACAAGAAAACCTTCCTGGAAGCATAGGTGCCAGTTGGGAAAGAGAAGGTGGCGTTGCTCTCCGCGACCTCTGCATATAAGACTCGCAGCGCCGTGCTGTCCTCAGCCAACAGCTCCATTTGTTGCAAGTAGCTCGAGAAATCATATAGAAGCCCTTCCCTCCCTTTGTTTCCATGGCGCACGTGTACCGAGATGGTTCCCTTGGCGAGAGTGTCTGCCGATGCTACTTTGGTCTCGCACGCATACAGAGACTCGGATCGGAACTTGTCCAGTGCTTCGCGCGTTTGGGCATTGAACCGGACCAAATATGTCATAGACTGGGCTCGCCACCAGTAGAACCAGAATCTTCTCTTGATCGGAGAGCATTGCTGCAGCATTTCTCGAAAAACTTCAGGGACGGATTTCAAACCGAATTCTGGTGTTCCGGGAAAGCGGTCGGTTATGGTCAGGATGTCCCCTGTAGGAAGGCATGCCGTGAGTTTCTCGAGCCAGCACTCATAGCCCTGCAGCCCAGGGCAGAAAGTAGGGTCCATCAAGGCCATCCCTTTGCTTGAAATCGCAAGAACTCGACCCAAGTGCATGGCGAGAGCAAGCGCTTGTCCCAGTACGTGAAGTTGCGAACCGATGCCTCCTGGTAAGTGGTAGTACACCAGAAACTTGGACTCACTGCAATTTCTGGGATGCTGATGTTCCCAAATCCTCTTCTGGGCAAATGCTGTTCCAAACAGAACCTGGCCAGGTCTGCACCCAAGAAATGCTAGGATGGTTTAAGAACACCCACAACAGAGACGCTTCGTTCAACAATTGCCTGTTTAAGACCCGTATGATGTCTTTACCATATCTAGGCGGGGTTGTCCGACATTGGGGCTCCCTTTTGGGGCCTCCCTGATGAGGATTGCATACCTGTTGTCGCGCTACATAACGGGAACCCGTAATTTTCCAGCTCTGCCGTGCTCTATGCAACCCTCCGCGCCTCCTTCCCAAACCCGCTCCTGCCATGCCTGACTGCATGCCAAGGATATCTGCCTCGAGGGATCCCTACTACAGCTTCCCCAATTATTGCAACCCCCCACCCCACCATCCAATACTGAATACATGCCCCCATTCGTCATGACATTTTTGGGAGTGTTCAATGTGAGGATTGGGAAAAGAAACATCGCCGTTGATAACAACAATCTTTGGCAATGTAAATATAGGGGCACATTAGCGGTACGGCGATTCTCCTCCCATATACGTGGGCCAACCTCATGCTGATTTGTCTTCGGGGCACTCCCAAACAACAAGTTGGTAGCACTTCTCTAGCCAATTATGCTAGATGCTGCACTGTTGTACTTGAAGCTGAACATCACTCACACGAATCTCTTGTTCCAGAGGCCTGCATCCCATCCAGAGCGCCGAAGATTCTCATCCAGGAGATAAGACTCCTGCATTCTCCCTCTCTTTCAACCGAAAGGCATTGTACCCGAGTAATTAACAACCCTTTGTGGGCTACTTTCCGAGGCAGGTATGGGGTCCACTTTGCTTTGGGGTAAGGTAGGCTTCCTCCATATCTGCCTTTTTCGTTGGCACCCTTCAGGGATATGTGGAACTCCTCAAAACACTGAACCCAAATCAATGCTGAAATTAAAACCAAAGATTCGCATGAAGAATTCCCCGCAGACTGCTCGTTTTTGTAGATGTGATTCTGCACCAGGTCATCTCGTGAGCGCCCTTCCTGTGTGGAGGTGTTGTCTGGCTGCCATTTTGCGAAAGAAAGGGATATGGCGACAACTAGAAAGCCAACGAGCATGGTGAGTGCCAAGCTTTTCACATCGCCCGAGCACCTAGAGGATGCCATGTCAGCACGCAACCACAATTTTCAAGCAGAACCATACAGCAAAAAAACAGCAGCCGCGAGCGCGCGTTGCCTTGAGCATGACCATCTTAGCCACGCGTCTGTTGCTGGCAATGACGCGAACAGATATGCCAAGGGCATGCGCATAGCGGCACTGGCACGCGCATTGTCGTGGATTCTGTCAACACTGCGCACATGACAGTTCCTGAGAAGGAGCCCCTAAAACAGTCACCTAATAGAGTAATACACTTAAATAGTCCAAAGGACCAGCATGTACCCTCACCACACCAAAACACGCAATAAAAACAAAGCTCCCCGCAATCTGAATTGCTATTTCATCTTCCATGTTCGGTTCCATTACCCCACGTACAACCTCGGCATTAAAGGCAAGATCAAAACCGTACCTCACATCTTGGGACACATATGCAAAGCGTCGGCCAAGCGAGGAAGGAGGCATTCCAGTATGTGAATGTTAATGTAGGGACTTCAGGCTCTATACTAGAGCGAAGGTTATGGAGGGGTTAGAGGGGTTATAAATGGGATTACATAGGGTGTGTAGGGTGTACGATAATGCCCCAAGGACATTGCCCGCTAAGCATGGAGAATCAAATGCTCGCCTGGACTAACATGGCCCGCAATAGTGTAGACCCTATTCGAAAAGACAATTGTCTGCAAAGGGCACCTAGTCAGGTTCCATGTTAGTTCAGGGGGGTTAAGATTAGGGATCAAGGCTTGCGGATTCAGAGTTGCTTACGGCTTAAAACTCCATAGAGCGGTGTTCAGGGTCAAGGGAACTACGGGATGCAAAGAATGGAGGTCCATGGAATGCGGAAGCCAAGCAGGCTTTGAAGATATGAAAACATGAGAAACCAGGGCAAGCATAGAGCTGCATAGGTCGAAGCCTTCTCATGACAGTACTCTTCGTGGAAGCGACAGTTGGAAGTCAGTCATGTCTGAACATGTACTCTTCATTTTAGGGTCATCGGCCACAGCATTGCAGACTGGTAAATCCCTAGCCTAAAGGAATTCAATATCCGCACAAGACCCTGTCACACCGCATGAGGGTTTCCAATGCTTAGGGGGTCCTTTTTGGGGAGTCCGTAGAATAGGGACCATGACATACTGGGAGGTATCAACGCGCTCCTCCTATTGATGGAGAATAAAACAAGTCTGTGCGCGCGTGACACCATTTGTCCTGACATACCCTGAACAACACACATCACTCTAGGTAAGACACGTTAAGTGCCGTTCGAACGCACAGCAAATCTTGGAAACACTCCTTGTCACCCCCTGGGTTGTTCAAATCTATGAGTCGTACCTGGACCCTTCAAATGCAATAACTTTGGGGGCTTGGTACGGATGACTATTAGTTGTCATTCCCCTGAGGGCCCAACAAACAGGTACCACATTGGAGGGTCTAGGTAAGCCCCTGAACCCAACTACGCGGAAGGACGAACCCCCCCCCGCCGAACTCCATGGCACTCAGTAGCTCAAGGGCTCTGTCTTCGATGAGAGTATGTAGAAAACCCTGCGGGGATTCTTTCCCTCAATCCCAATGCTACAAATTGATGTTGCATTCTTAGGGCCCCCCCCGCTAACAATAGGGCCTCCAGAAAAATAACAATTAGCTGTCGTGACTAAGGTCCCACGACACTGAGGGCCTCGGGAGGCCTTGGAGATTATTTCAAAAGGGATGGTCTGGATTCGGTCCTGTATTTTTAGGTCAACAGGGTCACCCAAACAATGGCCATGTCCTGAATAAGCGGCGGCGAAAACACATGAAAGAGGGTCCCTACACAAAAGTGAGTGCAACATTACTATGTTAAACGAATCCGAAGTAGGTGGTTCTTTAGTGGCATTATCAGAAAAGAAGTGCTAGTTGTGCTCAGCATGCTGCTGTATCTGGACCCCAAAATATACTGTCCTAAAATCCGGAAAAATGACGAAAAAAAAGCCACGTATGATTTTCCACTTCCTGTAAGCAAAGAGCCAAGGCCCGAGCAAACCTGAGAGTGGTGGCCCGGCGGGACAGGCACCACCCTGCCGGGGCCGAAATATGTGCCAATATGACTTTTTGGTGTGCAATGATGACTCCTTGTATTGCCCATAATTTCGAGATGCCCGCATATCCTAGCTTCAGCTCGGGCAATGCCAAGGATGATGTCACTCATGCACGTGCATATCTCATCCTTTCCGAGCTTTGCGTGATCTTGAAACTTTGAATATTGAGGTGCCCAAGGCCTGAAACAGCACGGCTGAAACGGTGATGTCTAAATAGCAACCCCGATGGACTCCCAACTTATCCAACTTATCCAGCATGGGTGCGCTTGCAGACAAGAAAGAAGCAGTGCCAATGGATCCGTCTGAAATTGGGTATACGCCCAGGAACCTAAAACACACATGAGGGATTTGTCCTTCTAGCATGTTACTGCCATGCCCAGAATATTCAGGCCTTTACGCGTTGTGGGCTTCAACTAGACCCACAGACTCATGGCAACTCCACGCGATGAGTTTGGGAATAGCTTCTCTGAACCAGGCGATGGTAGTACACGCAATAAAAAAAAACCCTAAGAATCTATGCTCAAGCAAATAAGTCTCCTCTACACGTTGCTGTATGGAGAGAAAAAAGTGTGAACGGAAATGTCAATGTCAGAACCTGTGTGGCTCCCTATCCAAATGCTCGCAGGACCAGCGCGAACATGTATAAACCATGAACTAACCCCATCCGTAAAAGCTTCTCCCCAATCCTTAACCTCTTCAACCCTGCGCATCTTGGTCTGCCAGCATGCCTGCACACGCTGCCCGGCCGCGGGGCCTACAATCCAAAGCATCAGGACCCCCTCTGCCGTACACTCTGCTTTTCGGCAAGTTGCCATCTATCGGCGGCGGGCTTTGTAAGACGTATCTGGTACGTTGCTGAAAATTGGGATGGTCCCATTGTGAGGGTACAACGGTATGAAGGTGAACGCGAACCTTGAAACTGAGACCTTTTAAAAGGTTCAGGGCTTGGAAGCCGTTCACGCAGCCGATGAATACGCGGCATTCAAAATAAAGCAACAAGGAAGAGAGCCGAGGCACAGTTTACCTAAAAACCCTTCAAACCCAAAACCCTAAACCAAGTACCCTAAATCCCTATATATACACCCGTACATAACTCTATATATCCCCTATAGTGCCCTATAGTCCCCTACAAAACTCCATTATACACCCTGAAATAACCCTTCATATCCCCTACTCCCCGATAAACATGTGGGAAGTTTACAAGGAAGCTTCTGGCTAGCGCCCATACAGAAGGCCCAGCCTGCACACTGTACATCGTATACTGGGATATTTGGGGGGTAGCTGGGGATTCGATTGGGAGATATGAGGATGACACGGGGATTGTAGTAGCCCCCTTGAGACGGATGAAGACTGCTCATGAAGCCCGACACCCTGGAACTCTGGTTCCTCAGAGGAGCAGCGCTCAACAAATCTTAGGGGTGCCGCTTTTCAGGCGGCTGTTCGCTTTGCAGGGTTCTAACTATGACCGTATAACCTGCAGGGTCGGCTTTTGTACTGCCGAAGCAAAGGTTGACTGCCCGCGGGCGGGTATTAGCTTGCAACGGGAAATGCTTGCTCAACTGTCCAGATCTGAGACTTGACTGTCGCTCGTACCTGAAGACCTCAAAACTCAAAACAAATCCTCGGAAACATAAAGCCCTCAAGCCACAGTGCGGCCTGCGGATGCCGTCCGAGCACCAGAGCCAGAGGCCTCACACTGGTTGAGCGTTGTGCCTTTGAGGCCTACATAATGTATGGGAATAATCGGCCAGAATTGTTTTGTTTGGGGTGTGCTGTGTCAGCATCATTCATGGTTTGTCCACTGCACAGTGCCGATAATCTTGAGGTATGCAAGCGCTCAAGAGGCTCCAAGAATCTTGCAAATCGAGTTGTAACATGTCTCTTCTGACCACCATCCCACCACTAGAAATTGTTGCCCTTGGTAGTCCCACTCATGCTGCTACCTGCTGCTGGTGCTGGTGCTGCTGCTGCTGCTGCTGCTGCTGCTACTGGTACAACCGCAGCTACATCTGCCACAACTGAATACCATCATCAACAACAATAGCAAACAGATTCTGCCACAGTTCTCACACAGGCTCCACGAAGGTTCCGGGGTCACGGCTTGGCCCACCAGGTCCTGTTGGGATTACGGGGTGTTCGACAGGCGCTGTGCATTTAGCATGCACATAGACGTGCGTAAGGACATGCAAACACGTGTAAATGCATGCATATTTGCCTACGTACATACATACATGCATACATACAGGCATGCATGCGTGCATATATGCATGCATACATACATACTTACATTACACATGCGCACGCGTTCTTCTGGCATTGCCATCTAAGTGCGGTTGGACCGCTTCGGGGTCAAGGGCTTCTTGGGTGCACGTTTGCAGCGTTCGTGTCAGGCTTTAGACTTTGAAGCCAGCGGCTTGGCTATGGAGACTTGTGGCAACCACTGGGTAGGGGACCCTCCAGTAAACGTCCAAAGCTGGCCAACCCCATCTCCATGTTTTCTCAAAGATGTGATGGTCATCTTTGTTTTTGCAAACAAGGTTACTATATACTATAGTAGTTTCCATTTTCTTTTCCATTATCCGTATATAACCCCACGCTAACTCCTATATAATCCCCAGATAATCCCAACATAAGGATTCGGGCTCTGAGTTCCAGGTGCGGGGACTGCAAGGCTTAGATTTGTGGGGCAGCAAGAAAGAGGTGGCAAGGCCGGGGAAAGCTACGCCTTCACTTTGCGACGAAGCCTTTCGAAACTCTTGGGTTTCCCCAATACTGTTCCGAAACCTGATTACTGAGGGAAAGCTAACGTTTAATCGCGTAGGGTTTATGTAATGTAAGGCAATACGCACAGCACCCAAAACCCACAAGCCCCAAACCCATGCCCTTATAAGCCTCAAATCCTGAACTCCCAAGCCGTAAGCCTCAAACTCCACTTTCCGAGGCTGTCCAGCTGAAGCATGCCGCCCCAAGGTCCCGGCGGGGTAGTTTCCTGAGCAAGGAAGCGGTGAATTCGCCCTTCATGCGCTAAGCTTGGATTCCGGTATCCAACGCGTGTCTTGCTCCTAAAAAGGACGAAACACAAGTGTACGCCGTACAAGAGTGCAAGAAACTGTTCAGGACTATTGGGCTCATAACTCAAGCGTCTTTCTGCCTTGTAAGACCTGCTAAACAGATTCGCATGGGATCTGACATCGCAATTTGGGACTTCTGCGCCTCTGTTCGCCGGCAATTTGTTTACAATGGTTGAGAAACCCCTTGCCCCATGATATCGCTCAAGCAAGGGGTCTTTGTTGATGTCTACCGCAGACACAGACTGCCGCCCGAAAGGAGGCACATTGTGACAACACCAGCTACGTGAATTCGCGAGGAAAAAAGGAACCTTCCTGCCCAACCTATACCCCAAGTGATGCTGAGCTGTCAACGCTCATGGCTCGAAGGCGTAAGTTCAGCTTCCGTTTGGGCTGGACCTTCACATGGCCGGCGGCGCAGTATCAGTGACTATTCGTGTTGAGAGTTTAGCATGAAAATACAAGCTCAGAAGATGGCAGAAGGAAGGCCTTCTGCCCCTAGCACCGCAGACGTCTTGAGAAGGTGACCAACATCAGCAAGAAGCTATGTTGCAGGTGATCCGCTTCCCAGCAAGTTGACATCTGATCTCTAAGCAGGGTCCCGGGTCAACTGTCAACTCCGCCCAAATGACTCAACAACGACGACAGAATAGGGCTATGGCTGCAGCCTTCGACATAATACAAGGAGGTTGCTGTCTTGCTGGTGATGAGCTTGTGTATGCCATAGCAGGTGGCTGTCGTTGATGTTGCTCCAAAATACCAGCGCTAGTCACAATGCAGCAGTGGAGAAGCCTACTCCAAACACCTCATAAGCTTGCACGTCAAGCTTGAGGACAGCTTCAAAGCATGCGTGACCTCCCCATATCTCTTCGTAGCAGCTCCCACGTCACTTGTTGCAGAATTGCAACTCTGGAGCCAGATTGGACTAGTTCTCAGATGCCTTGCAACATTGCAAAATGATGATGTCTACCAACACTTTCTGGACGCCACTACAAGTTTCTTTACCTGCCCGCGCATCCGTGGAATGCCTACACTCATCCGATTCGGTTTCGATCCGGCACGTTGTATTCTATGGTCTTGCAGCTGCAGCGCAGACCCCCCCTTCAGCTATGCTTCTCATTGTGGAAGCGAGGCCAGCTGCGATTGCCTTCCTTTCCTATAGTGTGACACTCAGGAAAAAGAACCTTGCTCGCGGGGATACACTATCCTTCCTATTTCAAAAGCTTTGCATGCAAATTGGCTTTTACCCCAGAGCCACCCCTGCTTGCCTCCGCAGATGTGCTTCGCGTCAGCCCCTGCAAGTATGACTCTTGTGGGGCAGGTTTAGGGTAAAACCTGCTTGTGGCGGTACCTATAGTAATGTGGTTGGGATGATTACAGGGGGATTACAATGACTGCAGTACTCTTTTGAGAAGTCGCTATCTTGCGCCTCGCATTTGCAGAAATCCATCAATCCGCAGGTTTAGGAGATAGTATGTCGCAGAAGTGTTAGCAATGCTAAGTTGCATGAGTTTGAGGTCATCAACGTCTTTGACCTTCTAATGCAGCATCAAACGCGCGGGTAATGATGGTGGAGACTAACGGCAGCTACGTGAGGAATGCATGGCAGGAAGCACCAACAAAACCGCCGGGAAGCCAGAAAGGGAGGAAAGCAAGGACAAGAAACATACAACACAACGAAGAAGCAACCTTCTATTTCCAAAGACCAGTAAGCTTGCGATCCTGTAGAGTTTGATTGAACCTGAGAGGCAGATGTCTCTACGTTGACACTGAATTTTCCTTGTAGAATTCTCCTGACCGTCAGATATTGGCTGCAAATCGTCAAAGCATGCGTTCAGACGGTGAAATAGCGGCCTGTATGATTACCATGGGTTGAACCCGTTTTCAACTAGTTGTGTAAAGAGGACCTGAGTCCTTGGTTCCCCAGAACTTGTCTATCCTGACCTCGTTGTATGGAGGTGGGAACAGGCCTGGATAGCTTGCAGCCTTGAATTTTTCAGCCAAAATCTTCAACCTACCTTAGACCTACCTTCCAGTTTTTGCTGCACCCTTTAAGTGCGCTGGGAGCCTCTTGTGCATCGCTTCCTGCTGCCCCTGGCTGCGGAACGACGGGTGGCTCCTGAAATCTGAGAAGCGTCTAGGATCGTCCACGGGGTTCTTGGAGATTGTACACGGGACTTGAAGTGACGTTCTGCGCCTGGAGTTGGATTAATCAACGATCTCGTCTCGCAAGGAATCCAGACAGGGGCAGAGACCGTTTGAGGCCACAGAAGTCTTCGAAGCAATGAACTTGAAAGATTCCCTGCATCCATGTGTATCTGGTCTTGGCTTGGACTTTGGGACCTCACGATTAAAGGCTCGCTCCAACAGAGGATTTTCAATGTTCAGAGCTTACTGGGTAGCAGTTCCAGTTTTTGCGCCATTTATGGTGGGTCTAGGGCTTTAGCTGTTCTAGCTGTATCATGTTGGACTGCACTCTTAAACTCTGCATCCTGTAAGAATATACATAAACGCTAACCTGACTCAATAAGCGCGGCTAATGACTGCAGTGCGACGGTCCCACCTTATCTAGACCCTGATTCTGAGTTCGTGGGAAGGAAAGTGTACAGTCCTCATTGTCGGCAAGAACCATCCTTCCTGCATGTTGCTCCAAAGCAAAACCGCCTGCGAAGAGGAAAACAACAAATCGATCGCTACAACAAGTTGGGACCGTACCGCCCACTGAATACATGCCGCAAGCCTAGCTTGCCCTGAAAGTAAAAACCACGTTGTGCTGCATCAACTGTTCGCGCGAAGCCCCCCAACCCCCCCCCCCCTCCCACGCCCCCAAATCCTGGAACAGGAGCTTTTTTCATTTGTTCCTAAAGAGTTTGCGAATTTGCCTACCCATCGCGGATGCTGATGACAAAGGTCAGCCTCTTTGGCGGTAGCGCTGGGGGGTGGGGGGCCTGCGTGCAATCTCGTACTTGGCTAAATTCGCACCCACACAGGCCTCCAGGAGGGCCGCAGCTGCACCTCAATTATATGGGTTTCTTTTCTGTTGTGGAGACTTTAAGAGTTTATGTTGTGGTCAGGCTCTCGTGTTCAGTTTGCAAGCCACATTCTTAGGCCTTGGAGTTCAGGTCGCAGGGGCTAGGATGTCTGAGAACGGGCGCCAGGCCCTTCTCATGTCTTCCTTGTTGATGTGTGACCTAGCTGCCTCCTGTCGCTTGGCGAGTTTTGGGCTAGACAACGTTGGGGCCTGTTATGTTGCTGCACTGCATCTACGATTTCAGCAATAGAAGTCTCTGGCACCTGGTACCAACGTTCCCTGAAACCAAACCCCTTTCCGGCAAACCAAAAACCCTCCAAGCGCGACTCGCGGCCCTGAACACAACCTGAGCGGTCATCAAGATTCGAGACCGCGTAAAACTTCACAACACGTGACATTATGACCAATTTTTTCCGAAGCCTCTCTCTAAGAATGGACCCATTTCGAGATCCTGACTACAAGGCCAACACTTCTTCCATAATTCATCACTACTATAGACCCTCAGCATAAACCCAGCAGAAGAGCCGCAATCTTTCGGGAACCCTAAACCCTAAACTCTCCCCTAAACCTAAACCCTAAGCCCCAAACCCTATATCACCCATCATAGTAGTTTCCATTTTGTTTTCCATTATCCCCATATAATCCCAATAAACCCTGTGTTGCCACGGCACTTGCGGGGAGCCAGGCGCTTGGTATGAACTCACTGTTCGAGTCCTCGAGGTCGAGGATTGAACAAACCCGGAGCTCAGTTAGGGTTTATTGGGATTATATGGGCTACTGTCTAAACTCCTTAAAGGGGGTTATATAGGGGATTATATAGGGAACTACTATAGGGGATCTTAAGGGGGATGCTAGGAGTTTAGACAGTGGTTCATATAAGGATAATGGAAAACAAAATGGAAACTACTCTAATGGGTTATCTAGGGTTTAGGGCTTAGGGTTTAGGTTTAGGGGTTTACTGGGGTGGGACTTCTAGGGACACGGCAGAGATATAGGGACTGTACAGAAACTATGAAACCATGGGGGTCCCGGTATTGTGTAGGACGACTATGAGAGACTGCCATTTGTGGATCTTTTCGATACAAGTGGAGTTAGCATAGTCATGGCAAGACGAAGGACTGAAACCTTGCCTGAGCTTAGAAGGGCTTGCGCGGAAGGCTCACACCGGTGCTTGCAAGAGTGCAGAACAAGACTGAGAACTAGCATGCAAGAGTGACTGTGCTTCAAACAACTCTGCTAGCACATGCCAGTACTGATCGGAAGTTTGTCCAAACAGCGATCAGAGGACCTGTGCAGTCAGGGTACTGCCAAACCTTGGTAGTGTGCCCTAACCAAGGCCTTGGCTGCGGGCAGGCAAATCTCGGCGCAGGTGCTGACTTCATCCTGGCTCAGGCTTTGCTTGAAAAACAGGGAACAACAGTAACAGTACTGGTAGTAGGATGGCCATGGCGGCAGTAGTTGTCCAGCCCTGCGGAGGATGCACGCCGAGCTTTAGCAACGCTCTTTACACATGGCACCAGTACCGCCATGCCGAATCATTGGATTCTTGCTTATCAAGCCTGCCATTCCACTTCTCTCTGTGAATGCAAAATGCGGACAGGAAATAGCGTCTTGAAACCAAGAACTCCAAGAAGCACGCTTCGTTTTACACTGGGCATAGTAGCAGTAGCAATAATAGGAGGAGTAGTAATCGTAGTAGCAGTAGTAGCCGTAGCAGCAGCAACAGCAGCAGCAGTGGCGGCGGCGGTAGTGGTGGTGGCTGTAGTAGTCGCAGTATATACATATATATGTATAGAGTCGCAGTAGTCGTAGTAGTCGTAGTAGTAGTAGTAGTAGTTGTAGTTGTAGTAGTACTAGTAGTAGTAGTAGTAGTAGTAGCAGTAGTAGTAGCAGTAGTGGGAGTGGGAGTTTGAGTGCTGGTATTAAAACCCAAATGGGGGTGTGCCGAAAAGGGGGGTTGTCGCGTTCCGCGCCACAAGCCCTCTGTTACATACCCCTTGAAAC